CCCCACCCCGCCCCCGCCCCACGACGGCGTGCGCCTGCGCGTTGGGCGCGGAGCCTACCACCTGCTCCCGAGAAGGGGAGGGCGGTAAAGAATGGGTGCCAAAGGGGCCGGGAAGAACGCCGAATGTGAATGCTAGAGAGGTGTTTGAGAACCTGGCTTGGAAGACTGACAGGGTCAGGTTTGTTCTATTTGCCGAGCGGTTGCCCCTTGGGAAAGGCGAAGAGCGCAGCTGAGGGTTCCCTGCTTGCGGAGTCAGAGCTCTGCCGCAAACTGGTATTGGCCTTAGTTTCCTGATCTGTAAAATGGATTAATCAGGCGTGTCCCAGTTCCTATGCTACGTTAGCGAGAGGGCCAATTGAGATACCGTGTAAAGACAATGAGGGGAGAAATTACGAGAAAGAAAAGGAAGTGGGAGCAACACAGAAGAAAGACTGAAAGGAGGAAACCTGTGACCCCGTCGTTACTGAAGAAGTGGAAACTTTAAAAGTGAATTTTCTCTTAAAATTTCAAGTTTAAGTGCAGACTATAAAGGAAGGCAGGGGGAGAATAAAAACTTTCTCATTTTACCACTTTATCATCTTTTCAGTACATGATAAACAGTTGTCTTTATAGGATGCTTTTATACTTTCCTAAGTGTATTATCCCGTTTGATGTTTATGGCACCTTAAAGGCAAGATAGTTCTTATCCGCTGTACGAAGAAATGGAAACTTGCAGGGGATATGTACTCAGAATCTTGGTGTCCCAACCCAGTGATTCAATCATGAAACCCTTGTTGTAAAGCAGAGGGGTAGCAAAGTTTTTCTGGGGCTTGTGGGCCACAACATCTTTTTCAACTACTCAACTCTGCCGCTGGAGCTCAAAAGCAGTCATGGAAAGTGGAGACTGTAATCCAACAAAGCTTTATTTATGGCCCCTGAAATTTGAATTGTATGTAATTTTAACAAAGTGTTATTCTGTTGATCTTTTTTCAATTATTTCAACCTTTCTTGGCTCAGGCCTTAGTTTGCCTTTTACAACAGAACATTGTAAAAGTTCTGTTGCCGGACAGGGTGGAAGCTCTGAAGACTCGTACCCTAAAAAATGTTAGACTCTAGTGGGGAACATGGACAAGTAATTTATTGACTGAGAAAGGAAGATGAAGGTACAATAGTACTGCACAAGTCAAGCATGGAGACTTGGGAGGGACTATTGAGCAAAGTAAGTAACTAGGTCCAGTCAGGGAGGAGGCAGCTTTTGAGCTGGGTCTTGGGAAACATGTAAGACTTTTATAGGTGGAGAAGGAGATGTCAGGCATTCTTGAATGAGAAAATTGATTGAGCAAAAAGACACAGACTTGGAAATTTATGGACAGGGCCCGGAACTGGCAATGACTGAAGGGATGAAGTGGAATGTGAGGCTGGAAATGTAAGTTCGCCAAATTTGAAATTTAGATATCTGTTACATGGAACCTGAATGATAGCATGCTGGGCATATTCAAAAAAAGGACAGCACCTGTTGGCCAAGGAAAATTGCAACCAATTTTCTTCCTACTCTCTACTTGAGAACAATAGAAGAGTTGCAGCACACACTGAAGCCCTGGAGTCTGAGGATTCTGCAAGCTCAGGAAAACCACATGTGGTTTAGGAAAGACGGGAGAGAGCTAGCTGATGGCTGACAAAAAGTCCCAGGATAGGGAAATTACTTTCCACTAGAAAGTAAACTCTATAAGGGTAAGACCCTGTTTGGGTTTCCCTTGATGTATCCCCTGCGTCTTCCACAGCGTCCAACATTTAGTAAATGCTCAAATATTTGCCTAATCAAAGAATAAATGAGGTGCAGTTTATGGGAAATGTCTGGACAAGAGAGAAAACACTGAAAGGAACAGACAGCTGTGCTAAAATGGGCTACGGCAGATTCATCAAAAAGGAAATAAGTTTAGCTTAGCATGAATCATTCATACCTATTCTGACTCTGAGTGATTATTGCTTCTCTAAGAGCTTACTAACCATCTGTTTAAGAACTCATCTGAGAATTTTTCCAGAATTGATGTCAAGCTCACTGGACAAAGTTCCCAGAATTGACTATTTCTCCCCTTTTTCATCTGTTTTCCCTCATTCTCCTAGCGTGCTTCAGTTCTCCACACTTTTAATAAAAATCTCTATAATTGTTTATATAAGCTGGTTTGTATTTGCTCCCTATTCTAAAGCCTATACCTTTGCGTGTGTGTGTGCTTCTGGCTTTACACATAACCTCAGAAACCAATTTCTCTCCCACTCCTTCAATTTCACAGGGCTTGTTCTATTCTGGACTTTACCTTCCCAGAAGTTATTCTTAAAAGTGGTCACCAATACATTCTTTGGTATTCGTTCTCAGTTACATGCATACCCCTCTCTCACAACTGTTTTCTGCAAGTTCTTTTAAAAGTAGAATTATTCAGAGACCACGAGCCATCGTATTTTTTGCTGTCCATGGGCAGTGTCAGAATTGAATTTCTGAAAATTCCAATCACCTTGAGCTAACTTACTTGTTAAGACTGCCCTGGGACCTTCCCTGATGGTTCTTTGAAAATTTTGAAATCTGAGCACCTAAAGTGTAGGATTTATGTTTCTTTACACCTAATATTCTCTGTTTTGATTACTGTAAACTCTTAACACTGCCAAAGTTTTGATCTGAATCAAACCCAAAGTATCACTTCCCCTTATGACTTCCCCTATGTCCTGTGAGATGAAATGGACAACAAAAGAAAGTGAAAATATATAGATACTTTATTTTGAATGACATAAGATTCCCAGTAGATGTCTGTATAATTGGAGTACCCAAGTAGAACTTTATTTTGCCCTTGTGATAGTTTTGTGAAGTATGTTGGGAAAATATAATTATATTCTAGGCTTGAGTATCAGAAAACACATGGCACATTCAACAGACTAATTAAAGAGAATCGAATAAGGGGATTGATTTGGGGATAGGGTTAAGGGAAACTAATAAGGGTTGATGAGGCATCCAGGGACTAACAGCAGGAGTCTTTACTACCTCCAGGCCTTAAGGGACAAGGGATGGAGATGTTATAAGACTCCAACAAGAGCTTGTATGAGTCTTTTAGGGTTGCCAAAGTACTACAAACTGGGGGCTTAAACGACAGAAATGTATTCTCATAGTTCTAGAGGCTAGAACTATGAGATCAAGGTGTCAGCAGGGTTGGTTCCTTCTGAAATCAAGGTGTCAGCAGGGTTGGTTCCTTCTGAGGGCTGTGAGGGAAGGATCTGCCCTCTTTTCTTGACTTGTAGATGACTGTCTTCTCTGTATCTCTTCATATCACTTTCCGTCTCAATCTGTGTCCTAATTTCCTCTTTTCATAAAGACATCAGTCATATTGGATTAGGGCTCATTCTAATGATCTCATTTTAACTCGATTTCCTCTATAAAGACCATACCTCCAAATAAGGTCACCTTCTGAGGTACTGGGGGTTGGACTCCAATATATCTTTTTCGGAGGGTACACAATGAGCTGTCTGGGTAAGAAAGGGCAGCTGTGAGTTTTGATAAAGGGATATAACCATGACCCAGCAGGGAAATAAATACCCAACTTCTTTCTCCTCTCATTCTGTCAGGCTAATGCTTCCCGTAGACAAAACCCAACTGGGAGAAGAGCGCCTGGGTGATGCAGTCCATGCAAGCCAGCCTCCTAGGGCATAGAACAGGGTGGAGAAGGGTGGCGGGTAACTACGGAGGGGCAAACAGAGACTATCAAGCACAGCCTGTCTGGGCAGTCTGTAGGATACACCCAAAGCAGCTAGAACTTTCCAAGCGAGTAAGCCAGCTTCTTGGGCTCCCTGATCCCTGAAGAGGCTTGAGAACAGAAGCTGCTTAGAGTTAACCCCCTTTCTGGCTTTGTTCTATAAAAGTTTAAGCTTCACAAGGAAATTGTACTGGAGTAAAGGGTTGGGGGCAGTAGGTGGATTAGATGAAAGACTAAAAGCCTTGGCTTGGTGGGGTAAGAAACTATGTAAGTTCTTTGAGATCTCAACTCTCTGTCTTTTTGGATGCTCTGGCCATGCATGAAGGTTGGAGGAGGGGAGGAGATTATCTACCAATGAGGTGGTTACAGAGATTGGTGGTTCCCAAGGTAGGAAGGGCCATTGCTCTGCTCTCTGGAAGTGCTCTGGGGAGGCAGCGAGGTGTTGCAAACTGACCTGAGCTGAACATGTCCAACTCTTAGTTCTTTTTCGTTAGTAACGATCCCTGCTAGAGAAGCTTGAAGTGATGAGGATTTGCCCCACATCCTCACTTCTGGGATATGAAGAAAACAAGTTTCAGGCTAAAATCTGCCCCCGCCCCCACGACATTTGTTAAACATTCATTAGCAGGCAGGCACAAAACAGCTCCAGTGACTTCTGTAAGTTCTATGGGGTTTCTCTGTCTTTTTGGATGCTCTGGTCACAGCATGAATGAAAGGTTTACTCAGGGCAGGGACAACAGTATCCTAGAGGCAGGACTCCGTCACCCACATAGTGGGCATCAGGCAACCAGAGAGGGAGTTCCCCTTATACTTTATTATGCTGTTCCAATCCTGATCAATGCCAGAGGTGTTATCAGAAACAGGTTTTCACTGCTGAAACAAGTTGCTTG